TGCACGTCACCTCCTACACGGTTTTGCCCACTGCACCTCACCGGCATGCCTGATTTAAGACCATGGGGGTGCATTGTTAGGAGACACCCTAGCCGACTTGTTCATGCTGGCTGGCTTTGTCGCTACAACCTGCTATACCTGCTATCATTTCTGCTATAGACGTGGCTACTTATTTTGTTTTTCAAAACGTTTGACTCTTGTTCTGCTCCGGGACGAAAAGTCTGACTTGGACCAACGACGGCCACGTTGCCGTTGCAATCGGACACAGCGATCCCCCCCTTTTTCTTAACACCCCAAGTTCTCAACTTCTCGAATTTCTTGGTTACCCTCCTTCTTTCTGCCCCATTATTTATAGAATGCATCGCATACGAGAGAAAGAGGAAAGGAACTGAAGCAAGGACGGCCACACGTCTTGAGATGCATAGGTGGGCACAGGGTTCCCTACCTGGAGAGGGGGGGGGGGGAGGAAAAGTCTTGTTTCGGGCAGCCCTCTTCCCTGTTGACGTACTTCGCACAATGGCCAGGCACTGCGCCATGCTCCCGACCGGGTTGCAGAAATTAGGTGCCTTTTCTCATCTTCTAACCACTACCACCACCACCACAATGGCCCGTCTTTGGTCCTTAGCTTTCAGGACTAAGGATGGGACGTAAAAAAATTATTCGAATGTGACATCAGGGTTCTTTGGCCGCCATTACACCTGCGTAGTCATAGTCCCGCTCTATAAACAACAAGGGGACAGGTCGACCAGAGTATGGAGCGAACTTTTCGCCCCCTCTTCCATGTGATTTGCTGGGGTAGTCGTTCCTTCGTGCGCACGCTTATATGCTGAGATGGAAACTTTACGGAGGTCTTGATGGGAAGCAGCAATGCCTCCAACCACTCGCAATTACAGAACTCCGTCAACACTCAGCCTCGTAGTTGTGTGGCCATGGCTGAACATGGTCGGGAGAGACGTGCCTCGGGTTACAACGCCTGGGTGATCTCGGCAAAGCGTTGATCAATACCCTCGTGCAGCCGCTAACGCTGTCGTCAATGCGTCGTCCTTGGGCGAAGGCACAATCCGTGTCGACTAAATTCACCCAGGCGTGGACGACACGGGCGGAGTCTTTGGTATGAAAAAAAAAAAAAGTGTTGCCCTCTGTCACTGGCCTCATTAATGGTTCTCAAGCTGTGGCCTTTCACATTTCTCCCTGCACGCACTTCTCTGAAATACCTACCTCGTAGCCAAACGGCGCTATATTGTTTAAATGCTGAGCATTTCTTAGCGAACTTCGGCGACTTTGAGCGTATCTATCTATCTATCTATCTATCTATCTATCTATCTATCTATCTATCTATCTATCTATCTATCTATCTATCTATCTATCTATCTATCTATCTATCTATCTATCTATCTATCTATCTATCTATCTATCTATCTATCTATCTATCTATCTATCTATCTATCTATCTATCTATCTATCTATCTATCTATCTATCTAGCCGCATACGACTTTTAGCTCTCCTGGTCGTTTCGATAATGGTATTGATACCAAACTTGGTATGACATAACATGACTGTATGAAGAATATATTTGACTAGTCATAACATAAAAATCATGACATCCCTACTGAAACGTTCCGTATGTGAGTCCAATAATTCCATATGTTTCCATAAAGAATGCATATGTTTCCCATATATTTTCCATATATTTCCGTAAGATTCTTACGGAAACATACGGAATTATTGGACATCGCATACGGAACGTTTCAGTAGGGATGTATGTCACGAATGTCATTATTTACATTTCAGGTTGCAGCTCTTGCGGTGGTTTCGTTCACATGGCATGTTGTAAAAATGATATGGTATGACATGATTGCATGGCAAACACAAGCAACAGACCATAGCATGAAAATCATGACATGCATGTCATGTAACAACATGACTACATGATACCCTCATGATGCGCTCGCGGCCGTTTCGCTAGCTTCACAACTTGGTATTACGTGGCGCGAATGGACGACACAGGTGAATGACACATCCAAACATGATAATCACGACACGCGCGTCATGTAACAAAATAAGTACATGTCACACTGATGGTCCACTCGCGGCCGTTTCGCTAGCTTCACATATTGCAAATTTGGTATTACGTGATGCCAATGGATAACGAAGGTATGTGACTGGTGGAAACGTGATAATCATGAGATGCGCGTAACGTGAGAACATGACTACATGCGACAGTCAAGGCACCAATACATTTCAACGTGACGCGGTGCGCGTGCTCGCCGGCGTTCATTTCGTCGTGTCACGCCGGCGTTGCCACGCCAGGTGGTCCTGCCACATACTCGCAGGCGCGCGCCGCGCTGCTTTGACGCATGCGCGTTTCAGCGCATCCGGCGTCCCTCCGTCACGCAAAGAGGGAGACTGGCCGCTCCTGGCATAGACTATAGAGTGCTCGCGTTTTGCTAACGTAGCCGTCGCTGCGCCCAGCGTGCGCGTCAACGCTACATTGCAGTATATTGGGCCCTTCATGATGTGCTCGCGGCCGTTTTGCTAGCTCCACATATACGAAATTTGGTGTTACGTGACGTCAATGAATAACGAAATATATGACTGGTGTAAACATAATAATCCTGACACGCGTGTCATGTAAGAACATGACGACATACCACGCTCATAGCATGGTCGCGGCCGTTTCGCTAGCTCCACGTATACACTAAGTTTGGTATCAAGGGACGTGAATAGATGATGTTAAACGACACATCCAAACATGATAATCATGACACGAAGTCATGTACGGCATCATTTACCTCCACCTGGTAACGTTGTGCTGATTTTAAAGTGACATATCAACATTTATAATTCGTGCTTCGCATATCATCCATTCCCACTGTACGTGGGATCTGACAACTTTTTTTTCGATAGCAATGAAACAATGAAATGTGTGGGATCCTTTTTCTGAATCTGGAGCAGTAAGAACAAAAATTTTTACTCGACAAAAAAAAAAAGGAAAGAAAGCAAGAAGGCAACATATTAAGGCGAGAGGCTCCTATTACTCGTAAGATAAAAAAAAAATCCGACGTACTTGCCTTCAACACGATTGGTCAAATAAAACAAATAAGAAAAACTAAGTAATCAAACTGACGTAAGTGCGCGCAAGCTACGCCCTCACGTGGGTTTGGCGAAATCTTGAAGCCTCTGCGTCAATGAAATACAGTTCCGAGTGGTGCCACATTTGTCCTAACGTGTAACGTATACGTAGAACAACGTCAGCAAACGCCTTGAAAAAGAATGCGGATGACGGATACGTTTTCATGGATGATTATATTAGCTTTGACCTTGAGTCACGCTGAGTCGTTAGTTGTGGGATTTCAAGTTAATTTATTTACTTTAGAACTTGCTAAATTTATACAAGCAGTGTTTACACCACTTCCATTGGAGAGGGGGGGGGGGCAACTGCTTTCTTTGACGTAGCACGGTAATACAAAAGCTGGCACCGCTATTTCAGCAGTCTTTAGAAGCTTACGGCAACTTATGTCAGATTATGAGACGACCTGATATGTTGTCGTCTTCGAGCTATACATTCGAAAATCAAGATGGTTGGATGAGGGGTCAAGAGATTCGGATCTCCTCTGGATCCACCGGTGAGTTCCTGGAGATCCGAGTTCGCAAAAGATCTAAGCGATAAGTCCAGGTGAGTTTTGCGACTTCTGAGTGGCACTGTGACTTTCATTTTTTCTTTTTTGAAAGCTGTCGTAACAGTCGCGTTATGTACGCTTTCTGTAGAATGAAGTAGGGAAGGCAGCTGCAGTACGCTTCATTAATGCAATCAAGTATCAGTAACATGCTTAGATGTACAAAGAAGAGCTGCTCCATCGTTCAGTGAAACGAAATGCTACCCAATTTGATAGATTTTTATAACGAGAAATGTGGTGCAAAAATAAATAAATAATAAGACAGCTTCGCATGAGTGGTGTGAAGCCTGAAGGAACTGAAGAGCTCGGCAGCCTTCATTGTTTCGCTTTATTTTTGTTTCTTTTTTCTCTCTCACATCTGTTTGTTTATATTTTTGTCTGTTCAATTCTATGGCTTCCTTTCGCTTTTTCTATTTCTCGCTTCCCCTTTAATTCTATCACATTTTCTTTGATTCTCTGTCGTTATCTCTTCTTTTACCTTTTTGTGCTATTTTTTACCTTCTTTGATTCTTTATCATCCTCTCTTAGCTTTTTTTCTATTTTTCTCACCCTCTTTCTTTCTCTGATCTGCTTTATTTTCTACCTTCCTGCTTTTCCACATCCTCACTTTCATTTCCCACCCAGTTGCTACACATAGCTATATAAGGCTATGCTGCGCTTTGCTGGCCGCCTCGCAAAGAATTTATTTATTTATTTCTATCTTCCTTTTTTGAATCTCCTGAACTCGTCCTCTCACTCACAAAAGTTACGGCGCCCCCCTCCGGACAAATTGGCGTATTCTGGTTACGAAGAGGACGAAAAGCGTGCGTGCCGGTTCATCGTCATGATAGTTTTCTGTTGCTCCACTGCTAATAAGAACATCTCTTCTCGTTCCTTTGCTGTGCCACAATGGCGTTTAAAGAAAGGAGCTTGCATCCAGTCGCTGAACCTTGCGTGACCGTCCTATTCAATCCGATCCGGGCACGGGATGATTAGCACCGAACCACGGGCTGGCTTTCATTCTGACTGATAGCTGGGAGAGTTGGTGTGATTCCGTACTGTGATGTGACCCACAGCGCGCTTGTCTGCACGTGCAACACAAGGTCTTATGATTGATGGTTTGGCGCAGTCCTCGAAGTCATTGTATTATGAGTACTTCCCACCGCAGCGGTGGGACATAGCCGTTGACAGTCAATCTGTGTGCTCTCCTGTTCGCTTCCGTTTCATCCATCTTTGTTTTTTATGCGTCTACCACTTAACCCACAAGTGACCCTGACTACACGTCCGTACAAAAAGATTCCGCTTTGGTAGTCACTGAGTTTCCGACAATGCATAATTTCGAGCTTTCCCGCGGGCACCCCACGGACGCTAGGCGGCTGCAGTCCCTTTCGGCGGCACCGACTGCACCCAGAGGGTGCTTCTCCTCTCCCTCTTCCGCGCGCGCCCGCAGCGCCACCAGCCCGCCTCGACCGCCGCTCCAAACCTCCTCGGACCAGCAGCAGCAGTAGTCGAGGGAGCTGCTGCCGAGAGCTTGCGCTTGTGGCCAGCCGCTGCGTAGCACCACCGCCGCCGCCTGAACGCGCCGCACCAGCACGGAGCTCGCCGTCGACAAGTGGTGGTGGGCATCAGTGTGACGTTCTCCAGTGTGGTGTGCCTCCGTTGTGCGCGGACATTAGAGGACCTCGCTGTGGATGTCCGCGCGCCTCAAGTAGGACGCCCGCCGAGGGTAAGTGTGCAAGCGATCACTCCCTCTCCCTGCAAAAATGCGCAGCTCGTGCAGCAGCACCGTTCTTCCGCTCTCTCTCCACTTTTTTTTATGAGCACGTGGCGGCCGCTTCCTGGAAAAAGGGCGCGACCGTCCAGCCGCCACGCACGCGTTGGACCCAAGGCTGCCTCCGTGGCGCACAGGGCGTGGCTGCCGAGCGTGGGCCCTTCCGGCCGCCGCAGCATCTGCCAGGCATGCAGGAAATTGAGCCGACGTCGGACGCCTGTCCAATGACGAGAGCTGTGCGGAACAACTGGCTTCCTGTGCGGCCGTTCGGCACGGCTGTTCGTAACGTGGCGCCGATAAGGCCTTATCGCGGCGCGGCGGGCTGGCCTTTCGTTTCTGGGCTAATCGCCTGTCGTTCTCGATTCGCCGCTCGTGGTGGGGGGACCCGCCGGACGGGTTGCTACCCTCGGCCTCAGCGGAGAAAGCGCCGCTCACTTTCTGTGCGCTTCCGGCCTCGCATTGACAGCTGCTGCAGGATTCCGTCCCGCGAGCTTGAACGCCGGCCAAGTGCAAAAAATGTGTTGACCCCCCCCCCCCCCCCCCCCCTCGTTTGCAGCAGCAGCGCACGCGGATGTGGGTCACGATGGACAGTGGTCCCACGCCACGAGCGTAGCAACCAGCGTGGCCTCCTTCCAACCAAGGCGCCAGCGTCGCTTTTGGTGGCCGACGCCAAAAAAAAAAAAAAAAAAAAAAAGCGGTGCGCAGCACTGGTTCATGTTTCACTGCGGTCCCGTTTGCCGATCCGCTGGCTCGAGCTGCTCAGGGAAGCAGCGTGATGCCATCGCTGATCGCACGAAAGCCAGACATGCAACTGCATAAAAATACTCGCCCCTAAACATTTGGCGAACGTCCACTTTAATATTGTGCCGTGTTAGTCTAAAAGCAGACAGTACGACGGAGACCATTTTTGACACTTTTAACGATGCCTGGCGCGTTGGGAAGGGATAGCTTGTAAGTAGCGTTGGTGTGACACCCTGCCGAACTTCCATTTTTGTTGCGGCTGCAGGGATTGGCGAGTCCTGTAGCTGAAATCGCGCCGCCACCGAGGAATGCTGCGTTCCGCCCAGCGTGCGTCATATGCGTCGTGCCGTTTTTACTATCGTTGCGAAACGAGCGCCCGTGTGGGCAATCCAGTTTCCCGCCCGCGCGCTGCTAGCGGAGGCCGAGCTGTTCTGCGTGCTCGTTAGCTTCCTCGCTGCATGTAAACGTGACCTAACGTGCTTGTGGATCAATTACTACAAAAAACAGAAATGTGCGCGCAAGCGCGCTCCACAGGCTTTCTCGTGATTGTGCAAGCTGCTGGAGACATGCTCTGCTACGTCGTCGGTGGATCACTGTGCAATAACTCCGCGCCCGTTTTCCCGTCGTGTCATTTCGCGCAGCCCGTGCCGTGGGTAAAGGGCCACAGTGTCATGTGGTTGTCACAGTGGCGTTTAAAGCGACGTGCAAGTCAACCGAAAGCCGTTCGTGTTAAAGCAAGAGCCGAAGCAGTACCGGCTGCTGAAAGTTGAAACTGAAGGTCGGAAGAGCTGGTTCACACCGTGGGCAGCATGTGAATCACACTGACAAGAAATCAGGGCTACAGTACAAACTCAAATGGTATCCTGAGAGAAGTGACGGTTACGTGTAATAACGATATCTTCCTTCGATGACCAAGCTTGCCTAATCGCTTTTATTACACAAGGGTGGCCTACTGCATAGCTCGAGTTACGAGAGCTGTTTCTAGCACGAGTGACAAAATGTGAGGGACTTGAGGGAGTTCCAATCTGCTCCACTATTGTATCGCAGGTTGCACAAGGGACAGCAAGTGTTCCGCTGACCATCGGTTTAACGCTTTTCCCAATCAGTCAGCGAACTGGTCGGACTTTATAAGCCCGACAGGAGCCCCGCCACTCGATACTATCTATTATCTTTAGTGGCAGCTCGAGTGGCACTGACAGGTTCATCATAGGTAGACATTTAACTGCTGCGCAGTGCGAGATCAGATAACTGGAAGTCTCCTGCGGCAATGGGAAAACTCCTCCTCGGCGACGGAGGCTGCGTATTGCTCCCCACCGGGGCTGCAAAATATTATGCGCCTTCTTCCTCATCTAACCACTACTATCACCCTCCTTGGAAGTAATTTCACCCTCCTGGCAACGACGATAGTTATAGCGCGGGAACAGAACTACGACACAGAGACAAGAAGGACACGAGCGCACCAACTAGCCCAAGCTGCCACACGTCTGGCAATGTTGTGCACGGACGAACCTAACCTCGACCACGTGCGCTATCAACACCTGCGCAAAGCATGGACAAGTGCGCCGCCATTTGTGGTCTCTTTACTGTGGAGTCAGACAGCTCCGAATCGCTGCACGCAGAACGATTTCGTTGAGGCGAACATGTGAGCAACCTTAGTGGACCCAGTTCGCGCAGCGCCTTATCGATGCAACTGTGTTGGCGACGTCCCGAGGCGTCGCCCTAAAAACGAAACATTACGTTTTAGGCCGCAAGGTAAAGTAGACACTACTGACCTGGCGGTACATCGCCAGGAAGCGCGATTGGTCTACGCGTATGCGGGGCGCCTACTATCGCTCGAAACTGCGGTGCTGGTGAAAGTGGCCAGCTGCGCCGAGAAGAACCGGCCGCCGGGAAGCGGCTGTCCCCGTTTTTGTGGCCGGGAACCGGTTGCCGTTTCCGCTTTCGCAAGCCTGGTTGCCCCATCCGCTCTCTCTCTGTCGGCGTCGAGATGCGCAAGGTCATTCCGGTCCGACGAAACGCGCCCATGGCGGCAGCCTGCAGGCGCAATCCCGGAAGGGAAAGTCTTCAAGTTCCGCGCAGGCTGGGCGACACCGAGTGTGCAGTACTGTTCGGCAGGCTTGCAACCCACGTGGGCCGTCCTCTAAACTGCCGTCGGGGAAGTGGGAGTCGTCGTTCATTAACGCTGTCGCCAGAGGGAGCTCTCATTACCGAGACTTGGCGCACCTGGCACGGAGCCAGCGTCGTTTCGTCCCTGGAATTGACGGAGCGTGTGTATCGGCCTGCTTAACAGCTGTCAAGGCGAAACGTCCTCACCAGCGCCGACCACGTCGTTTGCCCCGAACGCGGCCGCCGTTCTCAACTACGCGCCATAGTCGGTCGAGCGCTGCAAACTTGAGGAACGTTGCTTCGCATCGAATAACACGCTCGGCTGAACGCCGCCTGTTGTGTCATTGCGAGACGCGTGCAGCATTTTCTTCGGCTCGAGGCAAGGAGGATTGCCGCCATCTTCATTCACGCCAAGTTGGGCGGGGACAGGACGCGGAGCCTTTTGCGTACCTTTTTTTTTTTCAGCGTTAATTCTCGGTGCGAAGCGTCCAGCTAGCGATGACTGGGAGCCTGCATTCGCTAAACATTGCCCCGCCGCGGTGGTCTAGTGGCTAAGGTACTCGGCTGCTGACCCACAGGTCGCGGTTCGAATCCCGGCTGCATTTCCGATGGAGGCGGAAATGTTGTAGGCCCGTGTGCTCAGATTTGGGTGCACGTTAAAGAACCCCAGGTGGTCGAAATTTCCGGAGCCCTCCACTACGGCGTCTCTCATAATCATATGGTGGTTTTGGGACGTTAAACCCCACATATCTATCTAAACATTGTCGCGGCGTTACCGCGCCGATCGCGAATGTCCCCAGCAATGGTCTAACAGGTAAGATTGTATGTCGTCGACATGGCGCCCACCACGCATGCGCAGACTGTTCGTTTGATATAGTGATTCAGCGAAGGGGTGTTTCACGAAGTACCGTTTCCCTATAAGGCGAAGTACCATCAAATGAAAGGCAGCCAACTCCTGTTGCGCCCAGCGAGGCATATTCAAGCATCTTGCGTCTTATCTGCGGAATCTCTCAAAGGCTTTCGTGCTTCCCTGTGAACAGAGCTCTTGTTTCTAAAGCGTCACATACGCGCAGAATGGCGCCATCTTGCGAGCCACGCCCCTTCGACGTTAGTTTCGCTCCTCCTCGAAGAGCTGCATGCAGCAACATCGTGCCGCAGATTGTGCAAGCGTTTGGCGGAAATTTGGTTTACGCCCACTCATACGGTCTAGACGCTAGTTCCTGCATGCGATCTTGCCATGGTACAGGCGACGCTTCCTTCCTGTGTAACTTGGATGCTCCATGTTTGGTTTTGAAGTTCATATCGCAGCGATGCAAAAACCTCCCCAAAAGTCAAACGATGAATGTCTCACTGGAGTCGCTTCTCTTCGCTTGAGAAATGGACAGTTGGCAAAAATCTGCTAGGTGGCTTTTCTGTAAGGTTTGTTTTCCAATCAAGAACTCTCGTTCACAGACTGCTTTTCTCGCTCATTGGGCTTTTACCTTAGAAGTGTGGCAGCTTGGGCTAGTTGGTATGGCATGACGATAGTTAGAGCGCGAGAACAAAACGACGACACAGAGTCCTTCTTGTCTCTGTGTCGTCGTTTTGTTCTCGCGCTATAACTATTGTTAGGGCTTTTAACCCTTCGAATTCCAGCGAAGGCACGCGAGTACAACAAAACGTCAAGGCGCCGAGCCGTGCTCTCGCGAGTGCTTCAGAAGATAGTGCTTTTTTTCTTCAACCACTCATTCAACAGAACGTCCTTTCCCCCCAACTAATACAATGGGGTTGTCCCGCTTCGTGAATAGCCTCAGCCATCGCGAGATGGACGACATAGAACCTGTCAAAGGGGAATGGCGAAAACACAATGAGCGAGAAAAGCAGTCTGTGAACGAAAGGTGTTGGTTGGAAAACAAACCTTACGGTAAAGCCGACTTGCGCATTTTCGCAAACTGTTTATTTTCTGACTTCAGTAGAAACCTAGAAAGTTACGAATCCAAAATTTTCGGCGCCACATTTTCTTAGTGACTCTAGCGTGTCAGTAAGCGCCGCCCCGTATGGTGACTGTCCGCTTCAGCGTGCGCTAACTATAAATAATTACTGGATAGCTGGCAGACTGGCACCAATCG